CCCCTACGGGTCGTGAACTCCCCGACCTCAACCGTTAGGACTGCTCCGAAAAAGAATTGGGACCCCCCTCCCCCACCTGAGCCCTCGGACATCGGGATCCCCGCCTGGCTAGCCGAGGTCCGCGAGGAGTGCGGAGGAACCCCTGGGTCCAAGCGCGTGCCTTGGTACACCGTGGGCACGACGGTGCCCGAAGCCCCCGGGACCCTCGGGCTGTACATCATGCCTTCCCCACCCTTCGGTCCCTGGATCCACGAAGGATCGCTTCCCGTGCCACGCGGCTGTGGCTCCGTCTGTTCCCGAGCTCTGCAGCAGAGTGGAGCGGGCAGCGCAGGTGTGCAGGGTCGCGTTTCTTGGCCTTCAGGCCTGCGGAGAACATTCTCCAACTCCCGGGAGGAAATGCTAAAAAGGAAAAAAAAAAAAAAAAGGCGGCCCCCCTCCCGTCACATTTCTGGTTTGCGGTTGTTTTGTTTCTGCTACTTTGAGGGCGGAAGACAAAAAGCAAACTTTCTACATTAAGAATGTCGTGGCACACACAGCCCGCAAAGTGTTTCTTCTTCAGGGCGCTTTACAAAACCCCCTGTCCTGCTTTCTGCATGGTCAAGAAGCAGAATAATGAAACCAAAGACTTTTATTTTATAAACCACTTGATCTTTGCTTGGGAAACTCTATTAATTGAATGGGTTTGCCTTTTTTGCCAGTCCCCTTTATCATTATTTATGGGCTTTAAATTGTTTAAAGTTCCCTTGACGTTCAATTTACAAGTTTGGGGACTTTTTTTGTTCTGCCTTTTGTCCTGGAGAAAGACATCGTGTTGGAAGAGCTTTGAAAAGCCAAACACGAGAGCTTGGCAATGAAAAGGAAGCAGGCGAGATCCCTTTTAATTCTGTCCTGTTGGTGAATGGCTCTTTTACATAATTGCAGGAGCTATTTCAAAGCCAGCCAAGGGCTGACTTCACTTAGAACCACATGGAGTCTATTTTGGGCTTTCAGATTAAAAAAAAAAAAAAAAGCTGAATAAAATAGTTTAAAAAGATGAGGCTTCAATGCTTTCTGCTACTTGCAAATTGGTGTGTCTGATGGGGAATTTTACACAAGCACCCCTTTGTAAGTGCGTCTTGGGCTCAAGAGGGACTGTTCTGGGTTAGCTGGGTGTGAATCCCAATTGCCCTTCCATAAATAAAACCCATCCCAAGTTATTTCCCAACTATTGCCAGGAGCAAGAGCGGCCTCCAGGTCTGCAGGATCAGGCCACTCAAAATCTCTGTAAATAAAAACAACCCGGTTACCTGAGAAACTAGCCAGTCGCCCGGAACTGGAAGGCTGGGGGGGGGTCACCAGGCCCCGAGGCCCACAGGTTTCCCCGCGTACACCGAGACCTGAGGCGCCCACACTGCCCCCTCTCCACGACCACCCGCGACCTCGACCCTGGCGGCGGCAGCAAAGCGCGCAGTTCGTGGTTCGGGGCGTCGTGGACTCCGGGCTGGGGCTTGGCAGGCCAACGCAAGTTTGCTGCATGAATATTCATTTACTTACGCGTTTTCAGTTTTACACTCAGCCTTCATACACCTGCACACAAACGCTGCTTGGGACAGCCCGGAAGCGAGGAGCCAACTTAATTACCATCACTTTTACTGAGTGTCTGAGGCTTTAAGTGGCTTAATCTGATCCTGACACTAACTTGGCGCCTGTCAAGGAAAGTGCCAGGGTCTGAGCTCTCTTCATCAGGGCGGGAGATTGGCGTACGGGTGTGGGGAGTTCGCGAAGTTCACTGGAGTTGGAGGACCCAGCTCTCCCTTCGGGTACCCCCTTCATTTTTCCTAACTGGAGCCGAGAGGGGTCTCAAAGCAAACTTGCAAAGATCTGCGTCGGCTGGTTTTCCCCGAACAGCCTAAGCCGAGCTGAGTCACGGAGGACTCTACACTTTAAGGCAGTTCCCAGCTAAGCAGGTAGGAATCTGGAGGTTGGATAAGCCAGGGACCTGTCGCTCACCGCCCATAAATCTCCCCCAAGAAGCCGAGAAAAAACTCTAAAGGCTTTTATTATCTACGGTCCCTCTGCCTGAACGTTTTGCAGGTAGCTGAGGTGCCCCGAATGAATCTTGTTAATCACTCCAAAACACAAGATTCCTTTTATGGGGCGAACAGTCGTTTTCTCAGCAGTTAAGCATTAGATGGGAAAGTATCATTGCTCCGCATTCGGGAAGAAGCACACTAGTAAATAAAATTCATATTGATGAGAATTATCTGAACTCACTAATAAAAGAAGATTAGTATTATAACCCCTGCAGTCAATACTTCCCACCGCAATTTATGGATGCAAATAATATGCCGTCAAATTATTTCAAGTGTAGCTATAATTCAACGGACCTAAATCTTCTTGCTGAACTTTAAATGTTGAATTATCACCAAAATAATCAAAGGAATCCCTGTCTCTTGGAGAGTAATCAGTCCCTAGAACAATATTTTTGCTCAAAACAGCAAAGTAGATGATGGCATGTGAGTACCGGCGCACACAGGCGCGCCCGCGGCTGGCGGCGCAGGGACCCGGCTGCAGCAACGTAAATCAAGAAAGGAATCCCGCAATTTTTCTTAGCATTCAAAAAACAAGGTAATGGCACCCCAGACTGTGTTACTGTAACTATCTCATAATGGGAGGGGGTATTTATTGGTTTTGCCCTGGGCTTCAATTTTCCCCCCTTTTCTTTTTCTTTTGTGGGAGTGGAGGAAAGGGAGATTAAAGCTTGGAGACCCCACAGACACCTCCTCTCCCGTGGATCCCAACGGGAATTCACTTCCCCTGCACCGCCTAAGCCACCTCGGGGTTTGGGCGTCAAGTGTGTGGAGGCAGCACAGGCAGCCTCCTAATGAATTCCTTTCAAACCGCCTGCTGCCTGCAGGAGCTATCTATTACTGCGGCCTGGAGTGGGGAAACGCGCTGGAGACGTCTTTGTCCGGGTGGTGCTGGGGAGGAGGGAGGAGGTGAGGAGGAGAAGGAAGAGAAGGAGGACCGGGAGGAGGGTGGCTGCCGGCGGGGCCGGCGGGTTTTCTCAGCGTCCTGGGGCGCCGAGGATGCACCCTCCCCTCTCCCCTCTAGCGCCCGCTCGGGGGTGGGGGCAGTGGGTCCCTGGCCAGGCTCCAGGCTGAGGAGATGGTCTGGGATTAAGACGTCCCCTGGGGGACCTTGGGGTTAGAGTGAGAGAAAGAGGGAGAACGGAAAAGAAGAGCGTTAAAGAATCAGGTCGATAAATTCATAAATATCGATTTATCTTTATCTCCCAATTAAATGTGCTTGTAAGTGATACATAACACGTCCAACACGGGCCAACTCCCCGACCACTAGCTCCTCGGCGTGAGCTGACTGTTAATGACCAATGTAACAATGCCCTTCTCGCCTCCCAGCCCGGGCTGTCCACAGTTCAGGGTGGACGTCTAGACCCGAGAAGTTGAAACCCTGGCCCAGAAGGCGCATGGAAGCCCCGTGGGCGCTGGTGCAGTTGGGACGGTCTGTCCTTGATATAAAATAACTCCATTTTAAAGGGGTACACAAGAGTTGAAAGTTTTTGCCTGAACACAGGGGAGGGGTCACGGGTCCCTGGTTTCCCTCCACCACCACCCCCCAAATCCCCTTACTCTCAAATTTCGAAGTCTTTACCATTGTCGAGAGCAGGGGAAACATCTTGAGGGAATCGGCTCCATCCTGCAGTCAGCATAGGGGAACCGCGAGCCCTCGAGTCCTCGTGCCGGAAACCGGGCGGCGGCGGCGCCTGGGTGAGCACTCCCAACGTGCTTAATTAGCGCCTATTTACAAAACGCAGCTTTTATTTGAGCAAACATCATAAAGCTTTCATCAGGATAATCTCAGGTTATACAATCTGGAGGCAGAGCAACTCCCCCCTTCCTCCCGGAGGATGGAGCGGAGGGATAAAGGACTCTCTTTATTATCATAATTATCGTGGTTGTTACTTTGGTGCGTGCTGGCAAAGTGTGTAAATAGGTACGATGATTAAGAATGTCATGAAAAATGAGAGACGGGATCGCTCATGGGAGGGCCCAGCTCTGGATGGGGGAACCTCCCCGCCCCATCGGAAACAGAGGCGCTGCAAGCAACCCGGTCGGTTCCCTGAGGCAGGCAGGCACCCAGCCGTCGCCCTAGGGGCCGGGCCAGGAGAGGCTGGACTCTGCCCCCAACTCCAGAAACCCTGCCTGGACCCCCGGCGCTGCTGGAGGACCCAGCGCCTGGGTAAGCCGCGGGCAGGTCCGTTCCACTGAAAATACTATATAAGAAAATGCGTCCGGCCCAGCCGCAGGGGATGCAAGCCCGGGAAGCTACCCTTCTAGGTGGCCTACATAAAGCCGCCAGGCCCCAGGGTCTGAACCTTAGAGGTGGCAGCCGACCCTCCCAAGTTTGCGCGGCGCGGACCGGGCGCTCAGGTTCCATCTCCCCGGCCCGCGCGCTCCGACGGTGGCGCCCGCAGCCCGCTAGCCGCCAGCTTGGGTGGAAGGGGCGGAGCTCCTCTTTCTCCCCGCCCCCGCCCAACTCATCCAATGGGCAGCGGCGCTCAGACCCACGTGACGCGAGCCCGGCCGGGCAGCAGGCAAAATGTGAATGAGAAAGAGGAGCGCGATTTAAAGGTGCTGGCGGCGCCCGCCAGGGACAAGTGCGCCGGCTTCGCGCGCTCTACAGCGGCCTGCGGTAAGCGACTGACGGCGGGACACACAAACGGATGCACGGACGGCTGCTAGCTGGTGCTAAAGGCCGCAAAGGCGACGCGCGCGGGCTCCGACGGGCGAGCGGCGGGCAGCGACTCCAGCAAGCCCGCGGGGCCCGGGCGCCCTCTCCACTCCGGGGCGCGCAGCCTCACCGAGCGCTCGGTTTGTACCCGCTGCCGTCAGGTATGCGGGGGGCCAAGGACTGAGGGGCGGCAGAGTCTACACTCCGGGTCCTCCCCGGCCCCTGCCCGACGCTCCTGGCGGGCTTCCCGGCGGCGGCGCGGGGACTTCTCGCTTCTCGCTGGCCTCTCCCGAGCGCGTCTATGAGCGCAGCGTTCCCGCCGTCGCTGATGATGATGCAGCGCCCGCTGGGGAGTAGCACCGCCTTCAGCATAGACTCGCTGATCGGCAGCCCGCCGCAGCCCAGCCCCGGCCATTTCGTCTACACCGGTTATCCCATGTTCATGCCCTACCGGCCCGTGGTGCTGCCGCCGCCACCGCCGCCACCACCCGCGCTGCCCCAGGCCGCGCTGCAGCCCGCGCTGCCGCCCGCGCACCCTCACCACCAGATCCCTAGCCTGCCCACCGGCTTCTGCTCCAGCTTGGCGCAGGGCATGGCGCTCACCTCTACGCTCATGGCTACGCTGCCCGGCGGTTTCTCCGCGTCGCCCCAGCACCAGGAGGCGGCCGCCGCCCGCAAGTTCGCGCCACAGCCACTGCCCGGCGGCGGCAACTTCGACAAGGCCGAGGCGCTGCAAGCTGACGCGGAGGATGGCAAAGGCTTCCTGGCCAAGGAGGGCTCGCTGCTCGCCTTCTCCGCGGCCGAGGCGGTGCAGGCGTCGCTGGGTGAGTCGGCGGCGCGCGCAACACAGACACGGGGCGGGAGGGGGCGGAGGCGGGACAGCTCTGGTTCCCGTGGGAGCCCCGGGGGCGAGTCCGCGCCCCGCCAGACCCCAACCGGAGGAGCTGGAGGACTCTGCCCAGCTGCGCCGCGGGGCCGGGGTGGGGTGCATTTAGAGCCGCGCAATAAGCAGGGTTGCTTGGGGCGGTACATCTCTGTGGCCGTGCGTTCGGTAGAGTCCAACTCTCCCTCTTTGCTGTGACCCGGGCTGTCCCGGCTAAGTTGCCGCCTTCTGGACCGGCGGGTTGGGCGCCTCGGTGCTCCCGGACGTACTAAGCCCCTTCATCGCTTCCATCTCCGGGGCTCGCTCCTTGCCCAGGAGAACTGAATTCCTGGGAGGCGGTGTTTCTGCGTGGTTGGGGTATCTAGTGGGAACTTCTAAGGCTACCGAACATTTTCTCCTTTGACTAACATTATCTGTCTCGGAAAAGACGCGGTCTGGCATCTGCACGTTCCTAAGTCCCACTCCGGTGGCGACTACATTTGGGTTCACTAAATTGTTCACTGTGGGGAAGGGAAGATGGATAGTGCACATCCTCCCCAGGCCTCCCCCAGCCATCACCTGGGGGACAAAGGGGACGCTCTCTTGGGCCTCACGCCTTCTGCGAGGGTGCGGAGGAGGCATGGCGGCCCCTTGAGTGATGGTTCTGGGCAAAGGGCCGTCGCCTATGCGGCCTCCTCGCCTTTGAGCTTTCTCACGCTCTCCCCACCCCTCCTCTACCCCTCAAAGGCCAGGAAATCACAATGTGTTAATGTCATAGAAAGACAATCGGCTGAGGGGGGTGGGGGGGGTAGAATGCCCAAGTGACGGCGGGAGAGGCGAGGAAGCCTGTGTGCGAAGTGTAATAAAACGCCGTCTGGTTTTCCTTTCAGTCGGGGCTGTCCGAGGGCAAGGGAAAGACGAGGCAAAGGTGGAAGACGACCCGAAGGGCAAGGAGGAGAGCTTCTCGCTGGAGAGCGATGTGGACTACAGCTCGGATGACAATCTGACGGGCCAGGCGGCTCACAAGGAGGACGACCCCGGCCACTCTCTGGAGGAGACCCCGCCGAGCGGTGGCGCCGCGGGCAGCACCACGTCCACAGGCAAGAACCGGCGGCGGCGGACTGCCTTCACCAGCGAGCAGCTCCTGGAGCTGGAGAAAGAGTTCCACTGCAAAAAGTACCTCTCCCTGACGGAGCGCTCACAGATTGCCCACGCCCTCAAACTCAGCGAGGTACAGGTGAAAATCTGGTTCCAGAACCGACGGGCCAAGTGGAAACGGGTGAAGGCGGGCAATGCCAATTCCAAGACGGGGGAGCCCTCCCGGAACCCTAAGATCGTCGTCCCTATCCCCGTGCACGTCAGCAGGTTCGCTATTCGAAGTCAGCACCAGCAGCTGGAGCAGGCCCGACCCTGAGGGCTGGGGGAGGGCTGGGGGCCAGCACCCACCTGCAGAAGGCCCAGCACCCGAGGGAACCCATGGCGGACTCCACTGTGTTTGAAGCACAACTCAAAGTCATACCCTAACTGTGGACACCCTAAGAAAATTGAGAATATACTCATTACACAGGCTTAACAGACTGCTTTTGAAGGGGCTACAGCCACTGGAAGACACTAAATATTTATTATACTACCCTACTTTGTACATAGATATCTATATAGACTGGAGCTGCAGTATTTTGAAAGTTATAGGACCAATTACCCAGTGATATTCTCCACTCGCATTCCAGAAGAAAACAAAACCCTCCGCTGTAATCTGCCGGGTAGCAGCTACCTTTCCATACATTTCTGAAGGTAAACACAAAACACAAGACCCAACGCTGGGGTTTAAACTTATTTTTGTTTCTATTATGGCTTTTTGAGTTGACTGAAAAGCAGACATTTGGACAGCCTGGAAATTTGCTTTGATTTGCTTTTGCCTGGCTTTTCTCCCCTGGGGTGGCGTATCCTATCTGAGCCATGTCTGAAGCACGTCTCTGTTGTGTTTAATTTATTTCAATGTAGCTTATTTTCTTATAAGTTATGACACTTAAACAATTTCAGTCTTGTGAATAATAAAAAGGAGAGAGAGGGGGAAAAAAAGACCAAATCCCTGGGCCTCATAAATGTGTTCAGAATTTGACTGACTGGAGGGCACTGCCATGCTTTGGCGGGGCAGCTGGTCTGAGACCAGTACAGGCTAAATGTCCCCTGGCCAGGCCTCCTCAGGCTGAACTTGGGCCACACAGCACCCTACCAGGTTTTTAATAGGAGAGCAAAATCTCCAATAGAGTTATAAATTTAAGAAAAACTAATATTCACCTTAGAAACCTAACATCTCCCCCTTTTGCGCAACCTAATCAATACCTAATAGGTGCGTAGTAGGCTGGCAAACTTGGGCCAGAGGAGGGAACGCAGTGCAGGTATTGGTGGTTGCACAAACTCCTGGTGTTCCAAATCCACTATGGGCAGAGAGGAAACGCCTTTCCTTATGAACATTCCTGACCCAAAAAGAAGCGTTGCTCGCTTGCCGGCAGAGCCGAGAATCCATAAATCAGACTCTCGGCGTTATCTTCCGACAGGAGCAGAAACTCGGGAGCACGCCGGTGGGAGGCGGAGGCAAGCGGGAGCGCCCGCGGGCCCGGCACCTCCCCCTCCGGGCGGGGTCGGAGGGGGGCGGGACCCGACCACCGCCCCACCCCAAGGGAGCCTGGACAGTCAGCCCCACGAAAGGGCTAGGGGAGACGGGGCCGGTTCGCAGGGCCTGAGAGCCTCGGCGCGCGGGAGGAGCGTGCCGGGATCCCCGAACCCGCTGCCGACACACCCGGGCTCTGCTCCCCTAGCCTCGCCCGCTGCCTTCTCCGCCCCGACGCTAGTGGCCCGGGGTATCCCGCGGCGTAGAGTGGGCGAACTAGGGTGAACGTGATGCCATAGCCTCTGCGGCCACCCATTCATCAGCCTGGGAGCTAGGGAACCCGCTCGGCCTTCCCGGAGAAGGGAGGGGAGCCAGGGAGCGGGCAGCGGAGCAGTGGCGCTCGGCTCTCGGCCCGGTTCTCAGTCGGATAAGCGGAAAGGCATCGCCGTGGGTCAACACCAATATTGACTTAGTTTTCACTACTTACAGCCCCCTGACCTCCCCGCAGCAGAAGGTCCAAGGGACCGAGACCTTCGCCCAAACTTGAGGCGCTGGGTGAAGGCTAGGAGCAAGGGAGTCACTCTTTCCCGCCGCTTCCGAACATTTCCGGTGGCGGAAAGTGGCCCAGGCCTGGTTTTTGAGCGCAGTAAAATGCAGAGGCCGGTCCTCTGAGGGCTCCAGCCGGCTCTGCGGAACGCAGAAAGCTGCAGCGACTCCTTACCGTCCACCACCCGGCACCCTGAAGCCTGGGAGGGAGGTGGATTGCGCCCGGGCCGCGCCCTGTCCTGGCCCCTGGTCCGTAGGGCCCGGCCGCTGGCCAGAACCCTCCAGCCAGTGCGCACCGGCACCGCGCCATCTGCCCCGGGCAGGTCCCCACTGGCCGAACGCAGAGACCGCTGCATTTGAGGCCCACGGTGACGCCGCCCCTCCCCCCCACACACACTTTCGGAGCCAATGTGCCCCTAAAACGGGTGCGCGCTCCCGCAGGAAACCGTGGCTGGTGACGCAGAGGCCCGCCGGAGATATGGGGGAACTGTGGCCTCCCGCCCCATCCTGTAGCACTAAGAGCCCCCATATGCCCTTCCGCCATAAAAGGTGTAACCCCTACCCAAAGCCAGTGGCAGGAATAAGGGGCACAGAGGGACCCGAAGCCTTGACTACACAAGGGGCTAGGGTCAAGGATGGGGGAGCGAAGCCCCTAGAAACCGGAAGCCGCCTTCAGGAAGCCCCCACTCCTGGGACCAAACTCCTTGGCCCTCTCCAGCCTTGGGTTTCTTGCCCTTGGAAAGCATGAGAAGGAGAGGCCCGAGGCTCCCCATCCTGGCAGACAGGGCCCCACCGCTGGGGCAGCGCTGACCTCCTTCCTCCCCAGCCCCTAAAAGTGCCAGAGCGCCCTGAGAGCCCTGCGGAGAGGCCAAGGCCCGGGAGACAGGCCGAGGGGAGGAAGATAAACAAGCGTGGCTTGATGGCCGCTGTCATCATGGCCGTCATCATGGCTTTCATTTGGCTGCCTAATGAGTCACATCACAGGCAGAGAGAAAAATTGTCAATCGCCCGGGCTCTAATGAATTTTTTTGCAAATTGTAATCAAGCCAGGCCGTCTCAGCTGGCTGATTAATGAGACCCACGAGGCTCGGCCAGCACCTCAGCTTTTTATTCCATCCCGTCCTCCCTGCACTAAATTAACAGCAACTTGTCTGAGCTTCAAATTAACTCCCAATGATTAATTCTGATGGGGGGACCTGAAGAATAGCTTGTTCTAATAGGCTCTGGCCTGAGATGCTGTTGGAAATTAATACACTTCCCCTTTGGCTGCCGGCTTTAATCCAAGGTTGGGTTTTGACATCACTATATTTGTTGTTACAATAAATTCCACTTACATCTGCAGATCAAATAATTACACTTGGGAGCACCTAGGACCTGCTCTCTGAGCCATGCTTTGGGATGCCTAGGGGAGCTGTACCCTGCATCCACCAACCCAAGCAGAGGGCAGAGGGGGGAGCACAGGAATAGCCACCCAACCCAGCAACCCCGAGCTCTTGCTTTCCAGAAAGCCAAGAGTTGCCTGCCCCCTGCAACCTTTGGAGAACCAAAAGTACTTTGAAATTCCACAGCCATCACCACATTCTCAGGCCGGACCCTTTTTAGCTTGGTCCTAAGCCTCAAGCAACTTTCCCTATCAGCAGCTGGCAGAGGCAGAGGTTGGAGGTAAACTTGGAGTAGCCTAGAACACCTGAACTGGGGCCTTCAGCAATCTCAACCGGTGCTGGAATTTTTGAGAATTAGCGCTGCTGCAAACCCAACCTTGGCCTCCCAGTCTTCAGCCCCTGAGATGGTTCTTTTATGTATGTGTGTGTGTGTGTGTGGTGGGAGTACCACCAGGCCCTTTGGAGATCATGTTTGCCTTATAGGACTATCCTGACACTGTGGCTGTCTGCACACCTGGCCTTTAGCCTGGGTGCACACCTGATGCAGTCACCTGCATTCCAAGGCACCCTTTCTCTAGGGATCAGCACCCACTCTGTTTTGTTTCTGTTTGTTTGAGCTTAATTGGCTTAATCATTTCAGCTGTGTCTGGCAAGCCTCACATAGGGCTTCTGAGTCCACTCCCTGTAGCCTTGAGCCTGTCCCAAGGAGAGCCTAATGCTGTAGGTTACTTTGGCAGGGAGTTCTGGATGCTCTGAAAGCTGGGAGAGACATTCTGGCTCCCCATTCACCACCTGAGGACTTACTGATTCCCTGGGGATAGTCCAAGGGGCCAGAGGCCAGCCTGTGAGGTTGGCAGCTCTGACAGCAGAACCAGCCCCAGCGCTTTCTCCTCACCTGCTGGACTTGGACTACAGCATAGCCCAATGGAGTACCTGCACCCAGCTGTGCACACACACCTATTTCCATGCTTGGAGCCCCTGGCCTCTGCTCTGGCTTGTGCACTCAGCCAGAGCAGGTGGGTTGCTCAAACTTCTAGTGCAGGAACACAGGCAGATGCTGAAGCCTGGGGCCCAAGATCCACAAGGAGCCAAGCTCTGGGGTCTTAGAGGCAGCCATGGCCTGGGGTCTACAGGAACCAGTTGGAGGAAGGAAGGTGGCATTATTCTTCATTGCAGGCCCTCATGTGTAAACAGAAGAAATATGATCTTGCAAACCCAACATGAATGCAAATCATGCCATCAGAGTAATGAAGCACCTGAAACCCCACACACAAAAGCAACACCATATGTATGAAGACAACCTGCGTAAATTATAAATTACATCATAAAAATTGATTGCCTATTTGAACAGTTCAGAAGTGGGGACCTAAGCTGGCTTCCAGCCCTCTTGGCTTTGGGAAAAGGTTAGCTAGCCCATTCCCCTCTGCAGGCCAAGGACAGGGAGTAACTGGGCCCAGAGCCTCGGCCTGGCCCATGCTGCAGTGGGGCCTGTTTGGCGCTTGGTCCTGGAGGTGGAGAGTCCACCTTGGGTGGGAGAAGGAGAGGAGTCCTTCAAGCTTAGACCCGTGAGAGGACCTCTGCTTGTTGGGCTGCTGGGGGTGGTAGCTTAGCTCACGTCTGACATCCAACACTTCACCCTGGACCTCTGAGAGGTCAGGTGCTGCTGCCCCAGAAGCCCCTCAGATTTTCTAGCTTGGACTCAAAGGACCTTGCGATCGCCCTTCTCCCCACGGAGCTGGCCTGTGCTCAGGAGGGTGTGCGGGTGTGCGTGTGGGCAGACGTAGCAACGCGTGCCTGTGAGCCAATGGTGTCGGTACCTGTGGGATTCCCTATAACCCCTCTGTGCTAGGTTCTCCGAGTTCCTGGAGCCAAACAGCCTACAGTCCAACCCCACTAGCCAAGCGGCATCACTCCCCTAGGCGCGCAGTAAAGTTGAGCCGCCACAGCGAACCGAGTCTGCTCCTCCGGACACCCCCACTCGCAGCGTGTCTGTGTCGGTCTCTGCCTCCACGGGGCCCTCCCCCATTCCTTCCTCATCGCCCGGGGCTGGAATCTGTCCCCCGCCCATCCGGCAGTCCACCCTCGCAGGCCTCCAACCTACGCTGAGCGGAGCACTGAGCTCTCAGGTCTCCAGGACGACGCCCTCTGCGGTCGGTCCGCACTGTGCCCCCACCTCCCAGCTCTTCTCGGGTCTGGCCTTCGGGCCGTTCCGCCTTCCCACATCCCGCAGCCCATCATGAGCACCCCGGCCTCCACTTCGAGGCTGCCCCACACCCACGCGCATCTGTGGTTCCTGGACTCCCTCCAGTTCACACACTGTGCCCAGCACATCCTCCATCCCCTGTCTGGAACAGGCACCAGCCTGGAGCTGAGCGACATGCGGGGCCGAGAAGAGATAATCAGAGGCCCAGGAAGCTCGCAGCGGCCGCCAGCCCGCGAGGAGGCCCTGTCCTCCCAGTGGGCCTCCAGGGAAAAGTCCAGCGGGCCAGGCGGCTGCGAGCTCAAGGGCAGCAGGGAGGACATGGGGTGGGGTGCAGGGCGGCACGG